TCGGTGCCTAGTTAGGCCTCCAGGTCCTGCTGCCTTTTCATTTCTGACTTTTATTCCGGGGCCTCCTAAGTCCATGGAGAAGAAAGAATGAAACTAGATTTTTTAAAAGTGCAGGGTCCAGGAAATTGCTGACACGGAGGAGAAGAGAAGAGAAGAGAAAAGAGTGAAGAGAAGAGAAGAGTGAAGAGAAGAGAAGAGAAGAGAAGAGAAGAGAAGAGAAGAGAAAAGAGTGAAGAGAAGAGAAGAGTGAAGAGAAGAGAAGAGAAGAAAAAAAGTGAAGAGAAGAGAAGAGAAGAGAAAAGAGTGAAGAGAAGAGTGAAGAGAAGAGAAGAGAAGAGAAAAGAGTGAAGAGAAGAGTGAAGAGAAGAGAAGAGAAGAGAAAAGAGTGAAGAGAAAAGAAGAGAAGAGAAAAGAGTGAAGAGAAGAGTGAAGAGAAGAGAAGAGAAGAGAAAAGAGTGAAGAGAAGAGTGAAGAGAAGAGAAGAGAAAGAGAAAGAAAAGAGTGAAGAGAAGAAGAAGAGTGAAGAGAAGAGAAGAGAAGAGAAGAGAAAAAGAGTGAAGAGAAGAGAAGAGAAGAGAAAGAGTGAAGAGAAGAGTGAAGAGAAGAGAAGAGAAGAGAAAAGAGTGAAGAAGAGAAGAGTGAAGAGAAGAGAAGAGAAGAGAAAAGAGTGAAGAGAAGAGAAGAGAAGAGAAAAGAGTGAAGAGAAAGAGTGAAGAGAAGAGAAGAGAAGAGAAAAGAGTGAAGAGAAGAGTGAAGAGAAGAGAAGAGAAAAGAAAAAGAGTGAAGAGAGAAGAGAAGAGAAGAGAAGAGAAGAAAAAAGAGTGAAGAGAAGAGAAGAGAAGAGAAAAGAGTGAAGAGAAGAGAAGAAAAAAGAGTGAAGAGAAGAGAAGAGAAGAGAAAGAGTGAAGAGAAGAAGAGTGAAGAGAAGAGAAGAGAAGAGAAAAGAGTGAAGAGAAGAGAAGAGAAGAGAAGAGAAGAGAAAAGAGTGAAAAGAAGAGAAGAGAAAAGAAGAGAAAAGAGTGAAGAGAAGAGTGAATAGAATAGAATAGAATAGAATAGAATAGAATAGAATAGAATAGAATAGAATTCTTTATTGGCCAAGTGTGATTGGACACACAAGGAATTTGTCTTTGGTGCATAAGCTCTCAGTGTACATAAAAAGAAAAAAAAATATGATTCGTCAAGAATCATAAGGTACAACACTTAATGATAATCAAGGTTACTAATAAGCTATCAAATCATACTAGGAAACAAATAAAAACAATATAAATTGAAAGATACAAGCAACATGGTTATGGTCATAAGTGGGAAGAGATAGATACTAGTAAGGAAGAGAAGGATACTAGTAATACAGTCTTAGTAAATTATTTGACAGTGTTGTGGGAATTAGATGTTTAGCAGAGTGATGGCGTTTGGGGGAAAAACTGTTCCTGTGTCTAGTTGTTCTGGTGTGCAGTGCTCTATAGCGTCGTTTTGAGGGTAAGAGTTGAAACGGTTTATGTCCAGGATGCGAGGGGTCTGTAGCAGGGGTGGGTTTCATAATTTTTTACTACCGGTTCTGTGGGTGTGGCTTGGTGGGCGTGGCTCAGTGGGTGTGGCAGGGGAAGGACACTGTAAAATCTCCATTCCCATCCCACTCCAGGGGAAGGATACTGCAAAATCCCCATTTCCTCCCGATCAGCTGGGATTTGGGAAGCAGAGAAACTGGGATCTTCCTAAGTCGTGGCCTCCTAGCAAAACTTCCCCCCGTTTTAAAAAAATAACTTTTTTTTAATGGCCGTCGTGCCATTAGTGATGGTCGAAAGGGCCGGCCTTATTTTTCTAAGCTGCTCCGGTTGAACCTTTGGGGTTGGCTGATCCGCGTTATGGTTGCCATGGGGCAAATGTGGGGCCTGTGATTGGTTTTATTCACCCACGGGGCAAGATCAAAGACAGCTCCCCTGGACCTTGGGCTGCCGGAAAGGGGTTTACTTATGGCTTCTAATAAAACAAAATAAGGGCAGGGAAAGGAGGGAGGGAGGGAAGGAAATCCAATTTAGGATCGATGCCCTGGGGCTGCCTCCAGCCGCCCCCTCCCCTGCTTTCTTTAATATAAAGGCTATTGTGCCCAAGGGGGTCCCTCAAGCAGGAAGTCCCAACTGGGGGAACGCTGCAATACGCATGCCTTGGCTTCCTCTCAGAAAGAGGGAAGGGGTGCAATTGAAATTAAACAGCGTTGCTCGGTTGTGAGATGAGCGGCCCATAAATTAATAAATAATAAATAAGCACATGTCCCCCGCTGCTCGATATTCCGAAGTTTGGGATTTCCTACAGGCATCGCCCGTCCAATTTTCTGGATAGTGTGATCTAATCCGAGGGAAGAGGGACTTATATCTCTTTTTTAGCGCTCAGGTACAATAGAGGTGGGCTCGGTTACCTGCAGGTTCGCGTATCTGGGGGGGGTAAATAGAACCAGAATTTGGTTTTTTTTTTTTCATAAACACAAAATGTATTTCTGGCAGGTAGAAGTGATTCCTTCCTTCCTTCCTTCCTTGCCTTTTTATCTGCCTTCCTTCCCCTTCTTTCCCTTTCTGTCTTCTTCCTTCCTTCCTTCTTTCCCTTTTTATCCTTCTTTCCTTCCTTCCTTCTTCCCTTTCTGTCTTCTTTTTCCTTCCTTCTTTTCCTTTTCTGTCTTCTTCCCTTCCTTCTTTCCCTTTTTATTCTTTCCTTCCTGCCTTCTTTCCCTTTCTCTCTTTCCTTCCTTCCTTCTTTCCCTTTCTGTCTTCTTCCTTCCTTCCTTCCTTCCTTCTCTCCCCTCCCCTCCTCCTTCCCTTCCCTCCCTCTCTCCATTCTTTCCTTTTCCCCATTCCTCCTTGTGTCCTTCCCTCTGCTCCTCCCTCCCTCCCTCCCCCCTTCCTTCCCCATCCTTCCTTCTGTCCTTCATTTTGTCTCCCTCCCTCCCTCCCTCCCCTCCTCTCCCCTTCCCTCCCCTCCTTCGATTTCAGAAGCTTCTTAACCAACCATTTCAAGCAGCAGCAGGGGAATTCAGAAGGGAATCAGGCTCCTGGGCTGGGCCGGTGGCTACTAAGCCTGGAGTTCTTTTGCTTTCGGGAAAACATTGGCAGCATCTGTAAACCTGGGCCAGCTGCATTCCAGAAGAAACATTCCCCCCCAGCCAGTTTTCTCTGACTTCAAGGCAGCTTCAAAGCCGGAGAAAAACAGGGGATATCCTAACGCATAGTAGCTGCAGGGCTTCTCTTGAAGAATAATATTTGCCGGTCTTTGTATCCAGGTTGTTTGGGGTATCAACAAGTCGGTGTTTTGGATAAGGTTGATGCCTGGAAATCAGGTGAACCAAGGAACGTCTTAACCAGGCTTGAGTTTTTCAAGAGCAGCCCAGGAAACGTGGGATTGTGAATACCCCACCCCTGTTTTTATTGTGACATTAACTGTGCTTAAATAATCCCTAGTAATTGCAATAGCAGAATGTTAATACAATTCAATGATGCTACCACAGCATTAAACGTGGCAGAGAGGACGCACCGAAATCCCCCCCTCCCACGGGTTCCTAATAATAGTTTCGCATTATTTGTCACCTATACTGCATAAAATTGAGCCGTCATCCAAGAAAGAGCCTTGGTGGTACAGTGGTCTAAAGCACCCTGTTATTAAGACCAGCTGCCTGCAATTACTGCAGGTTCGAATCTCGCCAGGCTCAAGGTTGACTCAGCCTTCCATCCTTTCTAAGGGAGGTAAATTGAGGACCCAGTTATGGAGGCAATAAGCTGACTTTGTATAAAAATATACAAAAGGATGAAGGCTTTTGCTTAACGCATTGTAAGCCGCCCTGAGTCTCCGGAGAATCGAATTTAAAAAAAAAAAAAAAGAATGGGCCACAAGGCAAAGCCCTGTTTTGTAAATACAGCTAGTCCTTGACTTGCGACCGTTCATTTAGTAAGCGTTCGAAGTAACAACAGTGACTTACGACCGTTTTTCACACTTACGACCATTACAGCCTCCGCATAGCCATGCCCTCGGTTCCGATTTGGCTTTCCGGAGCGGTCAGCCAAACCCGATGGACCACTTCACCAGCGACCACTTTGAAAACATCTCTCAAAAAAAAAAATCCTCTTAAGGGGAAAACAAGCCATCCATAAGGATGCACAAAAATGTATTTTGGGGTGTTAGGAATGGGGAACCACCCCGAGCAGTAGAGAAAAACTTTTGGGAGCTGTCCCAAATTCCCCCTTCTTTTCCATGCCAATTGCAATATGTTGCTGACTCGCCAGAGCCTGCCAAAGCTTACGTAAAACCTCCCTACCGTCCCCGAGACCATTTTCCCCATCAAACACACACACCTTTGGGCACTCTTCCCACCCACCCCGCACACCTGGGTTGGGTCCCTGGGCGTCCATTTCCCACCCACCCCGTCTCCTTCCTCCCGCCTTGGTCTCAGGTCTTCCTGGCAGAAATTCTCTGAGCCAGCCAGACGAGTCAACCCCTCTCTCCCCTCCCTGCCGCCTTTGCGAGGGCAGAAAGTTAAAAATTATTCAAAGGCGAGATTCCTGGCCTGCGGGCCAGTACCAGGCGAAGATTTTCACCGCCCCGTTCTGTTCCTTGGCCAAAACCGAGATAAGACGCTAGGCAGTTCTTTTGGAATAATAATTCCCTTCTTCTAGATTGCGCTGGGAAGTTTGTCTTCTACCTTTCTCCACCCCCGCCCCAATTATAACCCACTTTTTCCCCCCCTCCCCTCTTCTTCTATTTTGTCAGATGCTCCCCGGCCCTTAGGGTGATGAATATTTGGTGTTAACTAGAAAGGAGGGAGAGGGGGGGGACACTTTAAAAGATGCAAATCATTAAACCACCCCATAGCTGAGTTCCTTTCCTCCTCCTGTCGGTTGCCTTCACTTCAAAGGCCAAGTAAGTAGCAGATTGATTGATTTTCTTTTTTTTTTTAAGCCCGGCTGCCCTCCGCAAAAGAATTTTGCATTGTTTTCTCTTCCCCCGAAACGTTGAGAAAACTGGACGGGGGCTGCAGAGGTTGACCTGGGAACTGAGGCACGCTGGATTTCTCTCGAGCCCAGCCAAACGGAGAAAAATTCGCAGGAATTCCAATTTTTTTTTCCCCCTCCACGCTTCACCTTCCGTCCGTAACAAATCACCTGGCGATGAATGTTAACAGTTGGGGCCTTTCCCACCCACCACCCCCCGGAGAACTTTTGCCGAGTATAAAACGGGAGCTGTCCGGTGGCAAGGAAGGATGGGCCGGCGACGTTGGCAAGCGCGGATCGTGGATCGCAACAGTCTTCCTGGGTAGGGTGGGCAAGGTAGGAGACCCTTACTCCAGGTCTTTTTCAGAAACCAAAGACGCACTGAAGACGAATGGGCCTGAAGTGGACTCCCACAAGTGTCACCATGTTGTGTCCATCACTTAGGATACAGCCACTCAAACGGTGGATGCTGGTCATCGGTGCCGGAGATAGAATAGAAGTGGTTTCACCTTCCGGTTCGGGTTAAGGTCAGGCCAAACCCCTGGTCCAGGGGATCCCGCAAGACCCCCCGTAAATATCTTGGCTTTACCGTCAGTTGATTAATTATCTCGGCTGCTTGTTTGTATTCATTTTCTGGGTGTTTTTCGTTAACGTCTTGCTGTTTTTTTTTTAATTGTTTTAGAATTCTAAGCTGCCCAGGATCATTTGGTTGAGTTGGGAGGAGGCTGCAGAAAGGGAATGAATGGATGAATGAATAAATAAATAAATTTGGGATAGATTAAATGCCAGAGACTGTCAAAGAAGGGGAAGCAGATGGAGTGGAGATGGTGGAGATGGTGGAGACGGTGGGCTTTGCATAAGAAGACAGCGGAGGAGGAGTGCAGTGTGGCCTAGTGGATGGATGCCTCCTTATTGGATGGGCTTAACGATCTGAAATGCTGATGAAATGTAAATGAATTTGGTTTTGACCTGCCTGGCTGGGTTTGGAGAGTAGGACCCCCCCCTCCCATTCCTAGGTCTTACCCTCAAAAGCAAAACCTCAAGAACAGGAGGTGCAAATAGATTTCAGAGCTGAGACCTTGGCTTAGCCTAACCTACCTGGCAGGGTTGTTGCAAAGATGGAAGAGGACGGTTCCCCCCCACCTCCACCCCCAGGCCTTTCCTTGCTGTTCTGCAGTGAAGGTGCATCGGGTCCAAGCTTAACGAAAAACGGGCTCCATGTTATCCTTAGGAGACGAGAACAGTTTTTATAGAAGTGACGAAAGGCAATGCTGAATTAAAGCAGACAAAGCCATTTAAAGCAAAAGGGGGGGGTGGAGAATGCTTATCCTCCCCCCCCTCCACTTCGCTATCCGCCTGTGTGAGTTTGGGATCTAAACTTCTCTCCGTCGCGCAAGAGGAATGTAGACTTTGCTCAGGGACTCGGCTTTCCTGCTCCTCGTTTCTTTCAGCCTGAGCTCGACCCAGAGCCTGCAAGACGGGCCCTAGGATCACTGGCCTACCTCTCCGGGCTGTTGGTGCGAAGACCAACGCCTTCCCATAATCCCCTGCCCCCTCTCTTATTCAGAATGACTGGGACCAGAGCCAGGGATGGGTGGGGCCAAGGCCCAAGACGGGAGGAGCAAAAGCCAGTAAGTGAGACCAAAGACCTTATTCTCCTCCTCTTTTTGAATCCCTGGTCTTCTTGCCCGTGTTTCAGAGATCGTTTAGGGTAATGGATGATGGGAGTTGGAATCTAAATAACTCTGGAGCATCCCGTTCAGAGGGAGGCTGGCTTTGGGGCAGGGAAGCATCCCAATTCATGAGAATAAACTGCTTGAGTGAATCACTCTCGGTTTAAAAGTGCAGGCAGCTAACATATTTTTGTTTTGAAACTATTGTGTTTTAAGGTCATTGTTCTGTCTATTTCTGTGTTTTAAGGGCATTTCCAGCTACAGATAGATGCACTCTGGCCTTATTTATCTCCTAATCGTGCTCATCCTGACCATAATCGCATCGCCCGAGCCGTTTCTGATCATCAGGTGGTGCTAACAGTTTAAGGCCGGTAGCTTTTCCTACTCCTGCCGACAAGCAGCTTATCGAGAGGAAAGCCTGGCGGGGAGGCCCTGGCCTTCAGGGGGTTAACAAAACCCTCCTTGCATCCGGCAGGTTCAAAACACCTGCTGCCCCCCACCCACCCCACCCCAAACAGCCAATGAGAAGCCAGCACGTAGCAGCTCCCAGACAAGTGTCGGTTTGAAACCCAACACCTGTCTCCGGTTCCTGCCAGGTGTGGCGGCCAGGTTGATGCTCGCCTCTTCTCACCTGGAAGTCCCTCCCTGTTTCCCCCACCCTCTCCTTCCTTTCCATCAAGAGATTTGGCTACTTCCTCCCCACACAGCCCCAGTCTCCATCCGTGGCATTCGATCCTCAGGTGGTCGGCACCTATAAATGCCCACCTGGCAGTAACAGGAGTCGACCGCAATGCCACCTTGTCCGTTTCCCTTTCCACCACAGGTAAGGGACGTTCTTCTTTCTCTCCCCAAGCCAGAGCTGGTCTTTCTGGAAAGGGGAAGGTTGTGGTCCCCAAGAGGACAGGAATCTGGTTCTAAAACAAACCAGCAATGTTGGCCAGGCCGAATCACCCGTCTCCTAACGTCTCTACCAAAGCATTCTGCAACTAGGGACTTCCTTCCAGACGCCTGGACTTCAACTCCCAGAGTTCCAAAGTGATGCTGAACATACTGGGAGTTGGAGTCCAGCAAGCTAGGAAGTGTAAGATATAGAATGTATATCTTCAGCAAGTTTTTGTTCAAAATTAGGATGGCAGCTTCCAACTTAGGGTTGCAAAACACAATTTTCTCATTTTTGACGCCCTCCTCAAAAGTGTAGGCAGAAAAAGAAAAGATCCATTTAACAGACCCATCCTATCATAAAAGGGAGGAAACGATGGCTTCACGCTCCATGCCTCTCCCATCCCATCCCACTCATCTCCATACCAACTCTAAAAACACCAGCTAGTCCTTGCCCAGAAAGGGGATTTGTAATGTGAGAAACTGGTTTTGAGCAACAAGATGCATTTTTCCAGGTTTAGCTGGGCTGCCCAGATGGGAGTTTTTAAAATTCTAGTTTTCCCAATAATTTACTGTATACCAGGCTTGAAAATCCCACACCTCTCCAGAGCATAGACCACTCCTGGTCTGCACATAAGCCCTCCAGATCACTTATCGGACCTTGTAATATAAGGTAGAATCAACCTTTTTAAATTCATAGAATGTAGAATAATAGACTTGGAAGGGATTTTGGAGGTCTTCTAGTTTAACTCCCTGATTGAGCAGGAGACCCTATGCCAGGGGTGAAATCCAGCAGGTTCTGACAGGTTCTGGAGAACCGGCAGCGGAAATTTTGAGTAGTTCGGAGAACCGGCAAATACCACCTCTGGCTGGCCCTAGAGTGAAGTTGGAAATGGAGATTTTGCAGTATCCTCCCCCCAGGAGTGGGGAGGGAATGGGGATTTTGCAGTATCCTTCCCCTGCCATGCCCACCAAACCACGCCCACAGAACCGGTAGTAAAAAAAAAAAGGATTTCATCACTGCCCTATACCTGTGACGGCAAACCTATGGCACACGTGCCCGAAGTGGCACATGGAGCCATGTCACCTGGCATGCCAGCCGTCGCCCCAGCCCAGCTCCACCGCGCATGCACACGCACCTCCCACCGGCCAGCTGGGTTTCAGGTCTCTGCCACACATGCATGGGAGGGCAGGGTGCATTTTGGGGGTTCGTACGTACACACCGCCCTCTCCCCCCCCCATTTTGGGCCTGGAAGGCCTCCTGCACCAACCTGGAAGCCAAAACGGGGGGGGGCATGCGCAGGGGGGCACTCGCATTGTATTTTGGGGGGCCGGGCACACGCGCGTGCATTCACACATGCATGTGTGTGCTTTGGGCACTCGGCACCAAAAAGGTTAACCATCACTGCCCTAGACCATTTCAGACAAATGATTGTCTAATCTCTTTTTGAAAGCCTCCAGTGAGGGAGCACCCACAACCTCTGAAGGCAAGTTGTTCCACCGATTAATTGTTCTAACAGGAAATTTCTCCTTAGTTCTAAGTTGCTTCTCTCCTTGGTTAGTTTCCATCCATTGTTTCTTGTCCTGCCTTTTAGAAAATAGTTTGATTCCCCTCATCTTTGTAGGAGCCCCTGAGATATTAGAACACTGCTATCACGTCACCCCTAGTTCTTCTCTTCGCTAGACTGCCTGCAATTACTGTGAGTTCAATTGTCACCAGGCTCAAGATTGACTCAGCCTTCCATCCTTCCGAGTTAGGTAAAATGAGGACCCGATTTGTGATGGCAATAAGCTGACTTTGTATAAAATAGAACACCGCTTAGGGGAGGCCAAAAGCCCTACCAAGCAGGTATATACAAAAGTATGAAGGCTATTGCTTAAAACCAGCTGCCTGCAATTACTGCAGGTTCGAATCTCGCCAAGGCTCAAGGTTGACTCAGCCTTCCATCCTTTCTAAGGTAGGTAAATTGAGGACCCAGTTGTGGGGGCAATAAGCTGACTTTGTATAAATATACAAAAGGATGAAGGCTATTGCTGAGCACATTGTAAGCCGCCCTGAGTCTTTGGAGAAGGTCGGCATATAAATCAAATTAAAAAAAAAAAAAAAAGCATTGTAAGCCGCCCTGAGTCTCCAGAGAAGGGCGGCATATAAATCAAACTAATAAAATATAAATCAAACTAATAAATAGACTAGACATACCCAATTCCTGCAACCGTTCTTCATACATTTTAGCCTCCAGCCCCCTAATCCTCTTGGTTGCTCTTCTCTGCTCTCTTTCCAGAGCCTCAACATTTTTTTTTGTATTGTGGCAACCAGAACTGGATGCGGTATTCCAAGTGGGGTCTTACTAAGGCTTTCTAAAAGGGGTAGTAGAACTTAAGTCATAAGTTTATTTTGTCAAGCATATAGAAGATAACAGGTAAAAGTATAAACATAATTTGAATACATGAAAAGAGTAAGTAAAAAGGAATATTAGGACAGGGACGTTAGGCACGCTGGTGCACTTATACACACCCCCTTATAGACTTCTTAGGAATGGGGTGAGTTCAACAGTAGACAGTTTAAGGTTAAAGTTTTGGGGGTTTGGGGAAGAAACCACAGAGTCAGGTCGTGCATTCCAGGCATTGACCACTCTGTTACCGAAGTTATATTTTCTGCAATCAAGTTTGGAGCGGTTTACCTTGAGTTTGTATCTATTGTGTGTTCTTGTATTGTTGTGGTTGAAGCTGAAGTGGTCATTGACAGGAAGGACATTGTGGCAGATAATTTTATGTACTACGCTT